ACACACACACAAACACACACACACACACACACACACAAACACACACACACACAAACACACACACACACACACATCAAAAACAACAACAACAACAACGACAACAACAACAACAACGATTCTGTTATAGAGAAGAGATTTATTCGTCACCTACCATCTCTCCTTGACGACCTTGGTAACCGCGCTGTCCCTGGGCTCCGCCGGATCCCTGCAAGTTGAGAATTATCGTTATAGTAGGAGAGGACGTAGGTAGACACTTTACACGAACTTTCCTCACTTCATCCAGGTGGAAATGGGTACTCGGCCACAGACAGCGAAAGATCTAGTCAGTATGTTAGTGTTTTAGCGCCTATAAATGGCTGCTTAAACTGTATGCTTCCCAGGAAGTTGAGGTTATTTCAGAATGCTCCAAGGTCTGCTGGGGTAATAGTATAGATTGTGAAGCGCATAGAACTTGCTGTTGAGCGGGGATTTGCGCTATACAAATGCTATCTATTATCTATTATTAGGTGAATGGGAGCCATACGTCTGGGGTTTCATAATGAGAAAACATGTATGCGAGACTTGCAGCACTATTGGGTTGTGGTTTTTTTTGTATTCTGCAGAGCTTTTAGTCAGTTCAAATGTTTGGACTGTTTGTTCATTTACAATCTAAACTATTGACCTGTTAGTAAAGAATGAAGTAGCCAACAATGCAGTTATGCCTTTCTTTTTCTTTTAAAGTATAGATCATTATTATATCAATGGCTTGTCAGAATTATACTTACACGCATGGCATCCAGAGCCTCTCCGAGAATCTGTAAGAAAAGAAGTGCATAATAAAAAAATTACCTAACTAATTGTATCTATCTATCTATCTATCTATCTATCTATCTATCTATCTATCTATCTATCTATCTATCTATCTATCTATCTATCTTTCTATCTATCTATTTATCTATCTGTCTGTCTGTTTGTCTGTCTGGCAAAACCGTAAAAATCATATTGCTAGTATGTCTTTTAGATTTTCTTTTTGCAGTTTATGCTAGTTTTTAAATCTATATGCCAATCATTAAAATAGCGACCTTGTATATTCAAGGCTCAAATATTAGTACAAATATAGAAAGCAGTGGCTTTTGAAAATCCTTGTTTTTGGAAACCAGCAATTAAGAAACTGTATTATTATACTCACAGCAGTCTTGGTCTCAGCAGAGTCTGAAAAAATAGAAGAAAAAAAAAATCAAATTAACTTGGTGACTGATATACTATTCTTCTAGCATAATAGAAAATAAATTTCGCATAGAAACAATCGGGTTTAATGACAAAGGGCGAAGGCCATCATCAATAGTTAGAACGAAGGGCACACTACTGTAAACATGTAACGCTTTCTCGATTTGCTCGAGTCAGCAAGGCTCAGCCTACCTACATTCAGTTCTGAGAAGCCACGTTTTGTTATTTCATTTTTTCGAACAAAAGTGGACCCACCACCTCATCTTTTAACAATAAATGATTTTTTTAAAGGACGTATGAAAAACCCGCCCCAAATAATATCTTACAATAGTTCCAAATTTTAATGGAAGAAATTGTGAAGGGAATAAGCTTCTAAACTAGTTAATGATATATAATCCGCAAAGCGACTAACTTACCAAACTTGTCGCACTCGATGAATTGGCACTTGACATCTCCATTGAGACATTGGCACTGAAGGCACTCGTTGTTTTCAAGGGGATACCAGGTGTCCAAGTGGAGGTACTCCACGCCGCGGAAGAAGCAGTCTGGAGATACAGAGAAAGAAAGAGATAGTTAGATATAAATAAAAGATAAATAGTATAATTTGGTCAATGAGCTTTACAATGGGAAACAATCTCGACTTCTTGGGAAGCATACAGTACAAGCTGCTATTTTACAGGCGCTAAAATATTAACATACTGACCCGACCTTTTGCTGTCTATAGCTGGGTACTCATTCACACCTTGGTGAAGTGAGGGAAATTTGTGCACAGTGCTTTTCCCAAGGACACAAAGTCAGGCCTAAACTGCGAACCCCCGAACATAAACATCACGATTACGAGTCTGGTAGCCTAACTACAAAAGCGACGTACAGACAACCAATCCCATCAAAAAGGACATTAAACTGGCCTGTGTCAGAATAATGATATTAAAAGTTGGTCCCTCTATGTCTGACAATGAACGACTTATCTGCAGAGGAGAACATTTTATTAAAGAGAAATAGAAGAAACAACGACTAAGATGACTTGTGGCTTCCACTCTGGCTAATGTGGCCAATTCTAGCAGAGTAGCGTTTGCCACATTTTTGAGCATTCAAAAACTTCATTTACACTAGCGGTTGTGCTCAGCTTGTGCACCTATCTCTTGGCATTTCTAATATTTGTTAAAAACATAACATTGAATTTATCTATGCATTTATCCCAAAGCGACGTGAAACATCTCTGACGCTGTAACAACATGGAGATTGTAAATTATGAAAGACGTGTTGCGGCCTATCGGGACAATTTATTGGATGTCTGGGGCAGGCTTCTCCAAATCTGCTTGCCGGGTCCAATCCATGGAGAGTAAGATTGAACGCTCCAGCGCACGGACTGAGAATACCGCTACACGATGAATTACTTCTCCCTTTTCTCTAGTTGACAGTTTTTGTTCTTGTGTGGAGAATCTGGTACAATGTATTACTATTCTTTGGTTCATTTTACTTTTCAGCTGAATCTGTCTATTCTCCAGTAGCACCACATTTCAAACGTCATTATTTGTGTTGCCTACGTTCTTGGCTAAAGACGTGGTTTTAACACCATTGAGGAAAATGTTACATTGTTGACTAGTGAGCTTTTGACTAAATGGCTTGACTAGATACCCCACAGCAAGTTATTTTAAGATCCCAAAAAAGCAAACACACACACACACACACACACACACACACACACACACACACACACACACATGCACATGCAGGAACATATACATCCGCATATACAAATAAACCGGAGAGGGAAACACCGAGTATTCAAAGAAAGTCTATAAAGGATAGATCAATACTTTTCCGATCCAGCTTTTACTTTGCTTTTCCGATCCAGAATCTTTTTCACTTTTCTGATTCAGCTTTTACTTTTTCGAGCTTCAGCGGATAGGTAGATCAGAACGTCTCATAGTGTGAGAGAGTTCATAGTGCGCGGAAACACTACCCTTAACCTAAGGCAGATGCCCATGGATATTTGAACAGAAGACGGGACTAAAGGCCAACAGCTTCAAATATCGACTAGCAGAGAACCATATTTCGTGAGTGAGAAAAGGCCGCTCGGTCACACAATCTGCGGACTCAGCAAATATAGGACGAAAGGAAAACAGGGGGCGGGGGGGAGGGGAGAGAAAGAGAACGAGAGAGAGAGGGAGACAGAGAGAGAGAGAAAGAGAGAGAGAGAGAGAGAGAGAGAGAGAGAGAGAGG